AATTTTTCATCTCTCATCTGGCCAGCTAGCTCCGCACCCGCCGCTTTAGCGAGCCTACTTTTCAACCCTCCGGAGCCACAAATCATTAGAAAACAGAATGTTTCGCGACTTTCCTACCTTTTCGCGCATCTGCATCTCCTTTCTTCTGACTCTTTCTCTTCTGCTCTTCTCTCTCCTAATCTTTCTCTTCTCTCTGCCTCTGCCCTGCTTTTCATCTGTCCATATTGTCGGAAGTTTGACTTCTAAACTTCCTTCGATTGTATATTATGTATGTATGTATATATATATATATATATCAATATCTATATATAGATATATATATTTGTTCATCCAGATGTGAACTTCTTTTTTTTCATGCCAACATGGGCGGTAAAGACACAGCAACCACCTCAAGGGTCCCCAGAGATAGGGCTAGGCTGAAGAGATAGGGAAAACGCTAAGCCAAAAAAAAATGATGAAACCACGGAACAAAAAAACCATAGGAAAATGGTGATTGAACCAAGAAAATGGGGATTTCCAGATTTCTAGTTGATCTATGATGGGTCAGTTGGCCAGAACTATAGATTTACAACATGCTGCCATGGTGGATATTGAACGAAAACCAGAATCCCGACTGTAAAGATGCCGAAGAACAACTATCTTAAAAAAAATGAACATTTTAAACGTTTCTTTAAAACCAACTCCTCTCTAACATTTGGGGCGTTTCTATATCAAGCTCACTGATCAATGGCTCACCAAGTCTCACCAATTCTTTGTTTATCCTCAAAACAACAACAACAACGACGACAACAACAACGACGACAACGACAACAACGACAACGACAACGACAACAAAAAAAAAATGGCTGGGGATATGTGATATGAAAATGTCCCCAACATTTTTTGTTTTCTTCCAAATTTCGGTTAGAACAAAAACATGAATGTTTTTGCACCAACACAATTGTGGTTATGCCCTTATTTTGCTGGTTTAATATGGTTCAATCCTCAAATGGGTCTGTTGGAAGATAGGGAGGCCCAACTTTGATGGTTCATCATTCATCAAAATTGCAATTTTTGGGTATCCATCATTTGGGACAAATCCAAGTATTTGTAAGTGGATTTCGTAGCTGCCTCTTGCAATCACTTGGTTTCGGTGCCCAAGGTATTAATTGGAGCCTTGGGGTGGCAGGCGTGCGGGGAGTGTGGATGGGTCATAATTTGATGACAACATGGGGACATCAACCTCCAATCCCAGCAAAAAAATATAGTGGGAATCACTAAGAGGCTGCTTACTCTCATGGGTAATTATGCTAATCAATCTATCAATCTCCAATCACTACAATGTGGGCCCCCCCAGTGATGTTGTCGGTTTATAAACCCCAATAGCTATAGTCATAAGATATTATAAGTATCATAAACCATAGAGAAATTGGAATTATAAACCCACCAGCTTCGGCTATCGTAAACGGGCCCCACGACTTGAAGGAAAAACCTGTAAAAAATCCTCTGGTGGATCATCCCACGAATCGTGGTGAAATTCGTAAGTTTCCAATTTTTTGGGTTTATTTCATGGCTGAGCTATGGCTGAACTATGGCTGAACTATGGAAAGCTATAAGTGACGGGCCGCCGGGGTACAGCCCGTACCGTAGTTTTTTCGATGATCCCCCAAGTGGTTGAAACCACTTGGCCAGAGCATTCGGATGTCACCCTTGATGGCTGCTCCATGGCCTATGCTGCATTTTTTTTTCGGACTTGAAAGCAGCAGTTTTGTTCGGGTCAACCGACTGGATGGATAGTTTACTCACCAGCTTCAGACAAGTGGTGGGTATCTGGGGTTACACACAGACCCCGTGGTCTGCCAACGGAACAGCGTAAGTAAAAACCCATGAATTTCTAACGACCTCACAGAAAACAGATGAAATTGTGTTGACGAAGTGAGCATTGCATTGCGGCGTTTTTTTAAGAGAAGCGTACCGCAATCAGGGTGTCTTTGAGGGTTTACATAAGATAGAAAAATATCCCGCCCCCCATTGAACAATTAACCACAGAGCAATTAGAGGGTCTTTTTGGGTTTACATTACATACGACATAAAATATCCCACCCCAATGGAACAAGTAACCTTGCCATCGTCATCACCATCATCACCATCATCACCATCATCACCATCATCACCATCATCAACATCTTCACCATCTTCACCATCATCACCATCATCACCATCACAACCATCAGAACCATCATAACCATCATCACCATCATCACCATCATCACCATCATAACCATCATGACCATCATGACCATCATAGCCATCATAACCATCATAACCATCATAACCATAATAACCATCATAACCATGATAACCACCATCATCATCATCATCATCATCATGATGATCATGATCATGATCATGGTTTGCCGGAACGCTCATTCCATAGAGTCTTGCCGTAAGGCTAGTCGTAAGTTTGGCTTATAAACCAAAGTAAGTATAGATATATCTACCATAAACCAGAGTTATTGAAGTTACAAACCAACTTAGCTAAGTGTGGGGTACCACCTTGTAAGTTTTGCTCCCTGTCAGGTGTGTGGTCCCACGTTCTCAGCGCCGCTTGCGGCTCGCAGCGCGCAGCGAGTGCCCTTGTCGTCGGGCTTTGGTCCAGGGCCCGGAGCAGAGTGGACGAGCAGGTTGCCTCTACAAGGTGGTGCCCCATAGTTAGCTAAGTTGGTTTATACCTCCCATAACTATGGTTTATGGCAGATATAACTATAGTTAATGGGGTTTATAAACCAACTTATAACTGGGGGGCACCATCCTGTAGGGTCCAACAAGGCCATTTCCAGAACGCTGGGCCATTTCCAGTCAGATACGCTCTGGTAATTTGTTACATAGCTATTGAAACATAAATCAGTTATAGTTGATGTACCCATTGAAAATCGTGATTTTCCATAGTGATGATAGTTTACCAAAGGGTAAGCGGGTTTTGTGATACGGTATAGTTGGGTTTGACTAAAAATGGTCGATTCAAATGGCAAAATTGGTGATTCAACCAACCAGAAATAGGGACGAAGCATAATGGCGACTTGTCGGGAATTTACCCAGAAACGATGGGAATTGCACCAACAAAAATCAGGATAAAAACCCCGTGGTTTGTTTCTTCAGAAATTTGCCAATGGGATTCTTCATAGCTATTTTGAACATGGATAAGCAACAAAAAATGAGGATTAAAATGATTAAACCATGATGACGTGCCCAGAATAGGTTGAAGGGACAATGCTCGGTTGAAACCTTCATGGTTTTGGCACCGTACGGAGGTGCCCCCGTTTCTTCGAAATCGCTTAGTTGGTGCCAATAACTCCAATAACTATGTTTTATGGTATACATACATACATACATACATACATACATATATATATATGTATATCTATCTATATCTATAGATAGATAGTAGGATTTATTCACCAACCTATATCCGGGAGGGCACCACCTTGATGATTTTTTCCTGAAAATCGCCAGGATTGTTTTGCAGAGCATCGCCACTTGCGGGTCACTGTGGTTGTCCCCGATTTTTTGGGACAAATCCCACATATTTCTAGGTGGGTTTGTCCAAAAACAAGGGATTTAACACCCAATGACTGGGGTGTACTGAAACTTTTTTTTTTCCCGAGTAAGGAGATGTATGCAATGGATTTCGCCAGGGTCCGTTCGACCGGCCTCCATGTACAATGGCAGTGTTTTGGCAATGGCATACCCTCTGGTAATCCAACACGGCTTGCTGAAAAAAACCATAAAATACACCTCATTGAGTTCGATGATTTCTCAAACTAAAGCTCCATGGCTAGTTCGATGGTTTTCCCAGTTATAAAGCTCCATGGCTAGACGGGATTTCCCAATATTTTCCCATCCATGGGGCTGACTTTCCACCGAAGGTGCCACGGTGTTCCATTGTGTTGCCATAGTTGCCATAGTTCCGTTGTTAGCCTCCAGTAATTTTCAGATAGCGAAAATGGATAAACATGGTCCATTTATAAATGATTTAGCTAGTAAGAATGAGGATTTTTAATGGCAAACCCTGAAATTACCCTATGGTATGTGCATTCTTACTATAGTTCTTACCCAGTAATAAGCCCCCAAGTGATTTGTTGGGATCCAGCTGTTTCGGCAGCACATTTTTCTGGGAGATGATTCTCAAGAGATATGGGAGACTCATGGATTTTGGAGGATGTTTTCTCGACCCTCTGGTAAACTAACATAGCTATTGAAAATGGACCATTTATAGATCATTTACCTACTAAAATGGTGATTTTCCACAGTTAGTTATGCTAGTTTACCAGAGGGTATCTTTTTTTTCCACGCAGAAAGTTTAAGATGACTCAAGATGTGGGATTTGGCGGTGTCATCAAACACACATGATCCTCATGGTTTTCAATGGATTGTTTTGGGGGAATTCCCGCATTTTAGACACATGTTCACATGTTCACAGGAAGATGTTTCAGTGTTTCACTTCCCTCTCTCCTTAGGTCCTTGCCCCCTTTATCACGGTGTCTGTTGGTTTTTTTTGACTCGCTGAAAATGGGGCTTTATCACGGAGATATCTCCAGTTGGATGGGGGCCCCTTCCTGGGTTCAGCGAAAATTCCGTGATTTGGCTCGCTGGCACGAGGTATGCTTCAAGAGGAAGCCATTTTTAGTTTAGTGATGTTTAGTGGTTGGTGATTTCAGCCTGGATTTGAGAGGCTTGTGATGTTTCAATCGTTTGTGAAATTTGAACTGAGAATTCTTGGTGTCAAGCCGCACACTTGGGTTGAAGGTCTTCAAGATGGAGCTTCCTCTTCCAACTGCACCCCCCGGATGTCTGAGATGGGGTAATAGCATGTAAAATCACGATGGTATCCCATAACATCATTACTCTATGTTTTGTTATTCTTGATGCTTCAGTCCCATAAAATCCACCTATTTTTCTTGGTTCACGCACGTCATAGCTGCCATAGCTACATAGAAAACCTGGAATTGCAGGGTGATGCCATGGATCTCCCCACAGTGCCGCTTGTGACAGAGGGAGCGGAGGCAGAGGTGTTGCTCAGTGGTTGGCTCGAGAAGCTCGTTCCATGTGTGGGACATGGCGGGAAAGTCCCAGCCCAAATCAGGGGGAAATCCATGGAAAATTGCTGATATCATGGGGATATGGCGGGAGAATCAAAGAAGATTTTTTCGGGACCATGACACACAGAAAGGGATTTGACCAATGGCTGGAAATTTGCTGGAAATCTTCATGTATATGGATATCATGGGGGTATTTGGTGGGAATTGAATGGGGTCTACAAATACTTGACATTATATTTGGGTGTTTCTGAGAATGGCTAAATGTAGAGCATCAGACGACTTTTGTCGTCGTTGGAGTATCAAGATGTACAAAAACCGTACCATCCGATTCTTATCCCAGGTGATGTCTCTATTCCCAAACATGAAAATAAGTCACACACACACACTATACCCCATAGGATCATATAGGATCCATGGTGCTGGTATATATGCTAACATGACTGGGGTATATTGATGGTAAATGTTATCATATATAGCATACATGGATCCTATGGGTACTAACACCTCATTATAGAAGGCCCAGTATGGGAAGTCATCACCAATTTTCCGAAGTCGGTCCCATTCTCCGAATGATTTCCAAAGTTGACTTTCGCGGAGACCTCCAGAACGAAGAGATCCTGCAATACTAAACAAGGCCGTATTTTTTTGGGTTACTTTATATATCAGGGGTTATCCGATAGTTATGGCTAACAAGCAGAAAGTGATGAGTTGATACCTATTTGATGTTTGTTTTGCTACATTCATAGGGACTTGAACCAATAAGTCATGAATAAGATAGGATAGTTTCTCATGTTGTATCATTGTTTCCCCATTACAACGGCCATAGCTTGGGAATACCTACTTGGTGGCTCACCCCAGCTAGTAAGTGGGTAATAGTCACAACATGTTATAACTACTTCTGAATCGCCACAGTTGATTCAGTAGGCTTAGTACCGTAGGGTAAAGCCACAAATCCAGTTGGCTTTTCACTGGGGTTACAAGCCACTTACTAACTGGACTGGACTACCAAAGGGTAAACCATGATCCCATCGTAGAATGGAGAGGCCGAAAAGCCAAAAAAAAACGGCTATCCTCATGTTTCAGGAAGGTTACAATGGGGAATATCTATGGTTATTGTCCCCATAGTCACTATCTAGCATCTTATTCTTCCCATAATTTATATGGTTATTATTCCCATAGCAATCTTAAATTGTCTCATGTATTGCACGGGATTTCCTTGTTAGTAATGGATATTCTCTCCATGTTCTGCTTGGTCATGGAGAAGACCGGTTCACACGATCGCCACGGAAGACGATCGCCCGCTTAGTAACTGACTGAAATCACTGGCTAATGAGTGGATTATCACCCAGTTACTAAGTGCAAATAAGCCAGTTATTAATTCAATTATTTAGCTAGTAGTATATCTGGTTGGTGGTTTCAAACATTTTTTATTTTCCATAATATAATATGGGATAATCCTTCCCATTGACTAATATTTTTCAGAGGGGTTGAAACCACCAACCAGATATAATCAGTTACTAACTATACTCTATGGATCCATGGCCACTCTCTGAGAAGGTACGGCTAACCCCAGTCACACTTCCTTTCAGAAGGTACTAGTCTGGATCCATAGGGAATATCATATTAATATAACCATATATAACCCATATATATATGTAGAATATTCATATCATACATCCCATATATCATTGTATCTTATTATATTATATAATTTCCCTGGGGATGTTAATCACCAAAAGAACTAATCCCATGGCCCGCCGAGGAAACGCCTGCCGGTCTTGCGCGACACCTGGGAACCGCACTGGTGCGTCTTAACTCCCAAGAGCCTCGCGTGCCCTGGCCGCGGAGCCTCGAAATGTCTAAATGTCTTGGTTATTTCATCGATAGTTCACCGTGAAATATACGGCTTTTAAATGGTTTTGACATGTGAAAAAAACATGTTTGAACTATGAAACATGTGGGGTTTTAAGCTTTAACCATCAAAAATGTAGGGATATAATTGAACAATGATGGCTAAATGGATTTTGACACCACGGGAATGAATGCGTTGGACGGTCATTTTGAGACACTTCAAGCGACGGCTTGAAAGGTGGGACTCGTAGAAATGGTCCATGTATAGTTCGTTGATAAAAACCTACATGGTGATTTAGCATAGCTACTGTTATGGTAGTTTAGCAGAGGGTACTACAAAACACGCATTGATTTTGACTTTTTGGTGTTGATAATTTTGAGCTATGCCGCCTTGATTTATCAAGGTGCCCGTATGCGTGGAGGGGCAGATGTACACATTGGACATGCATGTTGCATATCATTCCAAAATGAAGGTTTCCTAACATATGGGTGTACCCCCAAAACATCTAAGATCAGACCACTTTAGGATTGAAAGCCATGGGGGGATTCCCTATTTTAAGAAACACCCAAATTATCATGAAAGACAACTCCTCGCAAGCCTTGTGCCACGCTTAAGATGTTGCCAGACGCTAAGTTCTTTAGTAAAGGAGTTGTACCTCGTCAAACAACTGGGATGTTTTCCGATAAGATTTTCAGTGATCGGATCTCTATAAATGGTTTTCATTAGTCACATTCCGCCACGAATTGCTCCCGATCTTCCCCCAAAGAATTTGAAAATTCAGAATCCACAGGTGATCATCTTCCCCATCTTCCCCATCCATCCAAACTGTGGATGCTTCCGATTTTCAACGGAGGTGCTATGCGGACGACTCCTCGCCGCACGCGAAGACCACCTTGGAGTTGAGACAGATGCGCTGTGCGTCCGCCTTCAGGACCAAGCGCTGGCCATATAGCTGGAGCTCAAAAGTCGTTGAGAAGCAATATCTCACTGGGGTTTATGGTAGATATATCATACATCATGATATATCATGATACAGCAACACCATCCACAGCCACCTGGAGGCAACATCAGATACTGTACCCAATTATCCCTGCCTCGGGGAGGGTTCAGACCTGTTGGTCTGTTGGGTTTTACCGGAAAAACCCATGGTGATTTCGGATCATGGGATTCAACCAAAATGGCATATGTTCCGTTGTCAGGTGACATGTTGATAAAGGGTAAGGCGGTAAACCGTTTTGGGAAGTTCAGTTTTGCTAGTTGAGTTGGTTCAGCTTGGTAGTTTAGTTATTTTACTTGGTAAGTTTGGAGTCGTTTCGGGTAACCAGGTAACAAGGTGGTGCCCCATAACTAGCTAAGTTGGTTTTACATGTGGGGGTTTCAAAATGTTTGTGCTAGATTATATCGCGTTACTTAATGTGGTTTATAAACCAAGTGGGATACATCCCACTACATCTCAGTTGTTTTTGAGGGATAAATTCTGAACCAGAAACTAACCACGAATTGCAAATTCTGGCACCATCTAGGTGGTTCTATCCCCAGATAACTCAACTTATTCTCTGCTTAACTTCCATTTTTCTTGCTCAACCTCCATTTTTGCTGGTTCAATCCGTCATGTCTGACAATTCAATCAGCATTTTTTCCGGTTAAACCCACCATTTTTGATGGTTAAACCACCAATTTTTGATGGTTAAAGCACCAATTTTTGATGGTTTTGAATTGTCAAAACCACCATAACAATTCCTCAACATCCATCCAGGGAAGAAGAGACCGGGGATTCAGAGCTCCACAAAGCCACGCGACCTTGCGGCTTCGTGCTGCTGAGCTGAAATGCGGAAACTGGGGATTTTTTGGATCATGGATCATGTGGATTTCGTGGATTTGATGGGGATTTTTCATGATTTCATGGTGATTTTTTTGTTGAGGGAATTTTAGAGTGATTTTTTGGTGATACAACTAGACATCATGGAGATCGGGGATTTGACAGGGATCTGGTTTTAAAAACACAAGTGGGAAAAATGATGAGAAATGGGCAAGTCATGGACGCACATGCTACTTGGGGATCTAAGCATTATTTAATGTGGGAACATGGTGATACAATGGAGATTTCAGTAAGAAAATCATGGGATATCATTTAGAAGTGATGGGTAAAAGCAACAATCAACTGCAGGTAATGAGAAAAGTGTGGGAACATGGTGATATAATTTGAATATGTCATAGGTTTCATAGGGCATGTAATCGGGATACACTGGCATATATCACCAGCAAAAACCGGCAAATACGGCCGACTGTATGGTTTTCTATGGGGTTCACGGTTGGCAATCTGAGCTTCGTCCTGTTGCAGGGCAACAACCATTCTTGTCGGCTATTTACCTATAGTGACACACTCATTTTTTAAAGGGAATGGAAGTGATTTGACATGATTTCAACGACCCACTCAAATCAATCTCAGACATCCGCTGATCATCATCTTTGGTGATTGACTGCCTTATTTCGAGCGTTAAAATTCCCTATTTCGGCGTTTACATCCCCATTTTTGATGTCAGTTTCATGAATATATTTTCCGTAATTTCCCCATCAATGCCCCATATGTTTCCAATGTTTGATCGTAAGATCTACATGTTGTTGGTTAGAAACCATGGCTTTCCATCAACATTGCTGGGAAATCCACATTTTTCATGGCAGAGCATTGTTAAATGAATATTCCATAATTTCTCCATAGTTTTACTTTATTTTTTTCATTTTTTTCATGGGTTAAATCGTCATTTTTCGCAACAAACTCGCTGCAGGCTAGATTTGGGCTTGGAAGTACCCCATCCACACCAGCGCTTTGCACCTTGGTCTTATTGGGGCCCGGGGTCCGAAGCAGCCACAATAACACGGATGTCTGGAGTCAGAAACCGGGAGAGCAAGGGATTTCACGGGATTTTTCAGGGAGTTTCATGGAGGTTTTGTTAAGACGTCTTATGAACCATGCAGTTTCATGTTTTCAAAAATGGGATTCAAGACTGGGTTCAGACTGGGTTCAGACTGGGTAAACCTACTGTGCAGCTAATAAGTGGTTCGCGGAGGGACATGCTTGGACCATGTCGGACCTATTTCTATCACCAGTTGTATCACAAGTTGCATATATATATATATTATATATATATTATATATATAATATGTATAATATATATATATATATATGTGATCGAAATCGCAAGCTCTTGTAGCATATGGCGAGAGTCGGGTTACTGTCGCCCAGTTCTCAGTGGGATATGTATAATGAGAACCCACCAACGGTGAATTTCTGAGATCCTTACCACCATGTCACAGTCATAGTTACACCATGTTATAACCTGTACCAAATGGTTGGTCCTAGATGGGTTCTGCACAACCAACTATTTTAGTATTGTACGAGTTATAGAATATTTGGCTATTTTGTTTGATAACTAACATGAACATCACAACTAAAAGTTTAGCCATAGTCATAAGTAAATTATATCATGGGTGCTCGAACCTCCCTGAGGTTGAACCACCCCGCAGTCTAGGTCTTTGAGGTGGTTTTAAGTGTTGGTCTTATTAGCTGCTATTAGCTGTTAAAAAGCATGCCCCTCACTATATTTAAATAAAAGAAGTTAATAGCTCGAAATAGGTTGACTTTTGAAGAGGCAGTATTTTTTTTAAAGGTGATCTTCAAATCATAAAAATAAGCGCATCTGCCCTTTTCAACTAATAAAAGATATATCTTCAAATAGAGCAATGTTTGCTTTTCAAACAAGGCAATATTTGCTTTTCAAGCAAGCCAATATTTTGTGTTTTTGGAGAACTACACAAACTCAGTTCACTAAAAGAATTGAGTGGCTTCAGCCAAATTCAAAAAACATGAAACACGAAGCTAGCGGGACTTTGTGTCCGAAAAAACTGTTTTTGATGTTCAGGATTCCACAAGAATAGTTTATGCTTTGTTTAGCAATTGATGATTTCAAGTTTTTGTCTTTCTATGTGACTTGCTCCATTCAAAAATTCCACTCTTCATATCTCTTCATACTTCTCAAAAACGATGTTAGGTCTTCTTGCTTTGTTCTTTCCCTAGGACCCAAAAAACACATCACCTCCGCCCTCCCTTTTCCTTCTACCCCGTTTGTGCCTTAACCCGTGCCTAGGCGAATCCATGATGGGCCCATTTTAACATATTTAGCACTGGGGGAAGGAATTATCACCATCTCGTTTTGATGTGGTTCTTGATATTCAAATCTACATTGTAGATGGTTGATTCTGACAAAATAGTATCCCGCTAATTATATCTTATTCTATTTCATGATATCCCAACGTATCCCCACAAAATGGTTGGTTTTAACATACCGGTTTGCATTATTTTTGAACAAGAAGTGCACATGTTTCATAGTCACATCATCAAAAAAATAATTGAGGCTTGAATCTGACTGATTGATGTGAAAATCAATTGTAAACTATCCTGATTATCCTGATTAAATACAGAATTTACATCCTCAATGATTGATGTGAAAATCCTTGATATTCTCACATTCATGAAGTAAAGTATCCTGATTATATCCTCATGAGCCGATTTCATGGTGTCAGATCATCAGTTACAACAAACTGCTTATCTCCAAGTAACTTATGAAGTCCAAACTTTCATGTTCAAATCCTTTTTTTTGTTCCAGGTTTTTATTTTTTCCCATACTTTTCCGATGATTCACGTCAATTTCTGTTTTTTTCTCCTATTTTTACCAGATGTTCGGAGAACTTTTCCCATCCTTTCCCATGTAGGTCCTATCCCCGACCGTCCCAGGTCCACTTCGACGCCTTAGAAGATCAGCAGTTGGAACTGTGGCTCAAAGCCCTGCGGCCCATTATTCTGGAGCGGGGACGACAGCTGCGGCATAGGATTTTTTGATATTTTTTCTTTGGTGTACTATATACCCTCTGGTAATTTAACATAACTATGGAAAATCACAATTTTTCATGGGAAAATTCACTATAAATGGTGATTTTCCATAGTTATGTTAAATTACCAGAGGGTAACTACAGTGGTTGGGATGGTTGAAACCCCATAAATAATGGGATGAACCATCCACCAACTGGTGCAGGATTTCGCAACCATCCACAGTATCATTTGTTTTTGTATACATGTAACTATAGTAGTACTATAAAATTGAACTCTAGCAGTACTAAGGCACAACTTTTCATCTTATATATATATATGTGTGTATTAGTACATATAACTATAGGTAGTACTAAGAGTAGTACTATAGGTATAGTATAATTTTATAATTTTTACTACAACCCATAACATCATATAACTATAGTGGTACTATAAATAGAAGTACTCTAGATTACGATAGGTTCGTATACATCTAACTATAGTAGTTTATAAATTTTGTAAATAGACAGCACTATAGTATGGTACTAAGACACAATTTATAATCTCATAAATATAGAACTATATATATATACATATATACCAGTGCTATACAGCATTTGTAGTAAACCTCTGCTTTGTATGTATAACTCACATATAGCTTAACCTTTGGTGTTTTTCTGGTGAAATCCTCAACGAAACAATTTCGGAAAAACATGGGAAACATTTCTGGGAAAATCCTCGAAGTGGAGGTTTATAGCTAGGAACATCAATGAACATCATCTATTTCTATGGGGGATAAAACCCATGGCCCAAAAATGGCTATAACTTGATATTTTTCCCATGAATTTTCTAGGATTTTTTCGAGATTTCACCATCATCAATTTTCATGGTTGGCTGTCATGATTTCACCCAACAAGTTATCCGTGCCCCTTTTCGCAAAGTCTGGTTCTCTAAGACTTTGCTAACTGGAAACCATGGCAAATTCATAGGTGATAAACCATGGATCATCACGATTTACCAAGCTTAGAATTCAATGGTGATTTACCACTTCGCATTTTGTGATAAAAATGACCATTCGTAACAAACATTCGTTTTCTGGAGGGATGACAAAATTTTGCATCATCATATGGGAATATATTCCCCATCATATGGGTTTGTCTGAACATGAAGTATACCCCCAGACCTTTTTTTCTTGACGGGGAACATGTTTATGAAGTACTTTGGATTTGGTGGTTTATGTTCAGACAAAACCAACCATGAGTTTTCTGGGATATCCCACTATCCCCTTCATGATGCCTAATCCCCAAGTTCATAAACATCCCCAAAAGCTGTGGCAAAAAGTAGGGGATGACATCGATGTAAAATTTTGGGCCCTTCCATGAAATATGGGGATGCAACCAGTAGTTCCTGGAAAGTAAAAACTGGCTTTCTCTGGGATCCATCCGAGAAAAAACGTGAGAATCATGCGGATGTAGCCTCTGGTAATTTCTTACAGTTCGCTATTGAAGCCATGGACCATTTAGTTCGTTGATTTACCGAACATAAAGATGGTGATTTTCCAGAGATATGTTAGTTTACCAGAGGGAATGTTACATCGACAATAGTAAAGGGGGGTCCCCCCCTAATTTTTTTTTTTGTTTTAGGGGGGGTCTGCTTTGCAATAGTAAATCGAAAATCCCAACTCTTCCCCAAAGGCTTCTGTAAGGTTTTGACAAATCCTCTCTTTTCTGATGGGCTCTGATGGGATCTTCATTGGATTCTGATAGGAAGAAGGGAAAAATGCCTGCTAGAGCCAGGAAGGTTGTTTCTTATTGCAAGTGCTAATTCCAGTTTTTAATTGCAAATGCAAGGACCTGCAAGGGGGTACCCTTTGTGGACCTGTTTTTGGCAATTTTTTAAAAGGATTTTAATAAAGAAAACAGTTTTTTTGAACAAGGTAAAGTTTTTGATTTGGTAAAGGTTTGCTTTGTTTTTTGCTTTTGAAAAGCATGCAATCACAATTTAAAACCATTCAACCACAATTAAAAACACTAAGGAAGAAGGGAAAAAATGCCTGCTAGAGCCAGGAAGGTTGTTTCTTATTGCAAGTGCTAATTCCAGTTTTTAATTGCAAATGCAAGGTCCTGCAAGGGGGTACCCTTTGTGGACCTGTTTTTTGCAATTTTTTAAAAGGATTTTAATAAAGAAAACAGCTTTTTTGAACAAGGTAAAGTTTTTGATTTGGTAAAGGTTTGCTTTGTTTTTGCTTTTGAAAAACATGCAATCACAATTTAAAACCATTCAACCACAATTAAAAACACTAAGGAAGAAGGGAAAAAATACAGCTGAACTGTAACTGGTTCTGATTTTTTTTCCTGCATCCATACTAAATCTCAATTAGTTCCTTTACAATTTAGTATTGGAAAATCTGATAATTTGGGATTTTTCTGAAAATTATTTGTAGCTATTGCGAATGAACCACATTTATTGCAGATGCTCTGGACCAAGGTTGATGTTTGTAATTTAAAATCAATAAGGCCTAATTTAAAATCAATAGGGGCTGAAAAATCTGATTCTGAAAATTATTTGTAGCTATTGCACGCGCTTTACTATTGTCCATCCAACATTAATCCCAAACCATGGGATATTTACTGGGAATCTGGTGGAATTTTGATGGGATATAGTGGAATGTAATTCACTTTTGGAGTCTTTTTACGAGCAAATATAGCTTATGGAATAATGGATACAGCCATAGCTTCCCAGGAAGTATGCCTGGGGTATGGTTTAGGGGGTTAAGTAATGCTGGGTAGCTTCGAAGTGTTTGGATCCTCAGGAATATCAATCGATATTATATTATGGACTTTGATAATGGATGGATATAATATGCCATGGTCCATGGTCCATGGGGTAGGGTATATTCATTAAACTCATAGTAGTCCTTTTCCTACTGCTTGATTCTTAGATGAGTCTATCCACTATTAAACAGCCAGCAGGTAAGTGATGCTAAATGATATACCAGAACGGCCCGAGCCTATTTTTTCCCAATAGGTCATCATTGGTTGCTGATCAAATGTTTAGAAAAGCAATGTTACTGTTACAAGCATTCGGATGTCCAAAGCCACATTTGGGTAATTTTGCCGATCAGACTGTGATCAGCTTGGCACTTGAATGACCTTCAGTTGCTGAAAAACTCCCAACTTCGATGAGTTCAACGGTTCAAAAACTGGACCATTTTCTCACAATTTTGACGTGACACCAAAGTCATAAGCTTAGCATTTTAAGTGAAATTGGAGAAACGCATTACCATGTTCACGTTGGAAAGGTCGTCTCTAGTCTAATGAAGTGTATCATGGCTCCTCTGACCCTGATGGATGTGACCCCCTATGGATTTATACTTAAGAGCACTATAGTTATATGTGCATTGCCAACATTTCACTTGTTCTTTAGTTAATGTAGACTTACATACTTTACAGTCAATATATCTATCTGAAAAAAATGACCGAACACCGCGACGTCACCAAAAAGACGATGGAAAGAAAGGGGAAATCATCCGCAACGGACCAACAATTTCAGCCAGATACCATCTGGTAAACAAACAGGTTGCTATTGAAAATGGCAATTTATAGTGGATTTACCCATTACAAATTGTGATTTTCCATAGTTATGTAAACGTAGAAACCAGAGGGTATACCTGGTGGCTCATCCCACGGATCGTGTTCGGGCCTGATAAGCCTGGTTGTTGTTATGGGACAAGTAGGCAACTAGTCCACTGACTAATGGGGTTAGTTCACTAACCCGCTAGTCCACGAAACGATCCGTGAGGCCGTGGCTAGTTCACCAAGTAGCATGATTCATAGTTCCGTACATTTATATGGCAGTGTGTCAAAACCTTGTACCCCTGGTGAACATCAAAATAGCTGGTAAATGGATGTTCATCCCCCTAAAAATGGTATTAATAGATATTAATTGGTATTGATCCATACCCATATACTATTCATAGGTGTGTGAAATATCATTTCAATGGGAGATCTCCAGGATCCAATTGATGGAGGTACGTTATATAGTACCATATCCATATTTCTGGCCATGTTTTGTGGGGATATTCCCTGAAATTTAGGCCTTACATAGGCCTTCCATATGGTAGGTACCTCCAATTTAGGTTCCTGAAATGGCCATTGATCATTATACCTACCATTCGCCTATCAATATAGGTAAATATTCACCATTATTCATTTTGATTATATTACATCTATAACATCCTATATGATAGAACTATCATTATTACCAGTAATATAATATTATATTCGTGGTCAGTGGTTAAATGATAGTTCTATCAACGATTAATGGTAACTATTATAATATTAACCATTGATTAACCATTGATTAACCATGGTAATATTAATCATGGTAATATTATACCATAAATACGGTTACTATCATTATTAACCATTAATTATTGGCCATTTATTAAGCATTAATATTACCATAATATTACCAATGGTTAATAACTGGTTAAATATTCACCAATGAAAAAATGTGGCCGCTGCAAAGCTCAGCAAAAATCCCAGCTGTGCTTCCAGGAGCTGAAAGTCCCACCGGACTCCGAGAGTCCTCAGGAGCCCGAGGGCCTATGGTGGGTCCTTGAGGTTAACATGATGACATGGTGGTTTAACCAACCAAACAGGTGGATTTAGAGGGTTGAAATGGTGGTTTAACCAACCTAACAGGTGTATTTAGAGGGTTGAAATGGTGGTTTAACCAACAGGTGGATTTAGAGGGTTGAAATGGTGGTTTAACCAACATAACAGGTGGATTTAGAGGGTTGAAATGGTGGTTTAACAAACCAAACAGGTGGATTTAGAGGGTTGAAATGGTGGTTTAACCAACATAACAGGTGGATTTAGAGGGTTGAAATGGTGGTTTAACCAACATAACAGGTGGATTTAGAGGGTTGAAATGGTGGTTTAACCAACCAAACAGGTGGATTTAGATGGTGGTTTAACCAACAGGTGGATTTAGAGGGTTGAAATGGTGGTTTAACCAACATAACAGGTGGATTTAGAGGGTTGAAATGGTGGCTTAACCAACATAACAGGTGGATTTAGAGGGTTGAAATGGTGGTTTAACCAACAGGTGGATTTAGAGGGTTGAAATGGTGGTTTAACCAACATAACAGGTGGATTTAGAAATGGTGATTTAACCAACAGGTGGATTTAGAGGGTTGAAATGGTGGTTTAACCAACATAACAGGTGGATTTAGAGGGTTGAAATGGTGGCTTAACCAACATAACAGGTGGATTTAGAGGGTTGAAATGGTGGTTTAACCAACATAACAGGTGGATTTAGAGGGTTGAAATGGTGGTTTAACCAACCAAACAGGTGGATTTAGAGGGTTGAAATGGTGGTTTAACCAACAGGTGGATTTAGAGGGTTGAAATGGTGGCTTAACCAACATAACAGGTGGATTTAGAGGGTTGAAATGGTGGTTTAACCAACATAACAGGTGGATTTAGAGGATTGAAATGGTGGTTTAACCAACCAAACAGGTGGATTTAGAGGGTTGAAATGGTGGTTTAACCAACATAACAAGTGGATTTAGAGGGTTGAAATGGTGGTTTAACAAACCAAACAGGTGGACTTAGAGGGTTGAAATGGTGGTTAACCAACCAAACAGGTGAATTTAGAGGGTTGAAATGGTAGTTTAACCAACATAACAGGTGGATTTAGAGGGTTGAAATGGTGGTTTAACAAACCAAACAGGTGGATTTAGAGGGTTGAAATGGTGGTTTAACCAACATAACAGGTGGATTTAGAGGGTTGAAATGGTGGTTTAACCAACTAAACAGGTGGATTTAGAGGGTTGAAATGGTGGTTTAACCAACATAACAGGTGGATTTAGAGGGTTGAAATGGTGGTTTAACCAACCAAACAGGTGGATTTAGAGGGTTGAAATGGTGGTTTAACCAGCCAAACAGGTGGATTTAGAGGGTTGAAATGGTGGTTTAACCAGCCAAACAGGTGGATTTAGAGGGTTGAAATGGTGGTTTAACCAACCAAACAGGTGGATTTAGAGGGTTGAAATGGTGGTTTAACAAACCAAACAGGTGGATTTAGAGGGTTGAAATGGTGCTTTAACCAACATAACAGGTGTATTTAGAGGGTTGAAATGGTGGTTTAACCAACCAAACAGGTGGATTTAGAGGGTTGAAGATTGGTTTAACCAACCAAACAGGTGGATTTAGAGGGTTGAAATGGTGGTTTAACCAACAAACAGGTGGATTTAGAGGGTTGAAATTGTGGTTTAACCAACAAACAGGTGTATTTAGAGGGTTGAAATGGTGGTTTAACCAACAGACAAGTGGATTTAGAGAGTTGAAATGTTGGTTTAACCAACATAACAGGTGGATTTAGAGGGTTGAAATTGTGGTTTAACCAACATAACAAGTGGATTTAGAGGGTTGAAATAGTGGTTTAACCAACAAACAGGTGGATTTAGAGGGTTGAAATTGTGGTTTAACCAACACACAGGTGGATTTAGAGGGTTGAAATGGTGGTTTAACCAACATAACATGTGGATTTAGAGGGTTGAAATGGTGGTTTAACCAACATAACAGGTGGATTTAGAGGGTTGAAATGGTGGTTTAACCAACATAACAAGTGGATTTAGAGGGTTGAAATGGTGGTTTAACCAATATAAGAGGTGGATTTAGAGCAACATAACAAGTGGATTTAGAGAGTTGAAATGGTGGTTTAACCAACATAACAGGTGGATTTAGAGGGTTGAAATGGTGGTTTAACCAACACAACATGCGGATTTAGAGAGTTAAAATGGTGGTTTAACCAACAAACAGGTGGATTTAGAGAGTTGAAATGGTGGTTTAACCAACAAACAGATGGATTTAGAGGGTTGAAATTGTGGTTTGACCAATAAACAGGTGGATTTAGAGGGTTGAAATGGTGGTTTAACCAACCAAACAGGTGGATTTAGAGGGTTGAAATGCTTGTTTAACCAACACACAGGTGGATTTAGAGGGTTGAAATTGTGGTTTAACCAATAAACAGGTGGATTTAGAGGGTTGAAATGGTGGTTTAGCCAACAAACAGGTGGATTTAGAGGGTTGAAATGGTGGTTTAACCAACATAACAAGTGGATTCAGATGCTTGAAATGGTGGTTTAACCGACATAACATGTGGATTTAGAGGGTTGAAATGGCGGCATTAACCAACAAACAGGTGGATTTAGATGGTTGAAATGGTGGTTTAACCAACATAACATGTGGATTTAGAGGGTTGAAATCGTGGTTTAACCGACAAACAGGTGGCTTTAGAGGGTTGAAATTATGGTTTAACCAACATAACATGTGGATTTAGAGGGTTGAAATCGTGGTTTAACCAACAAACAGGTGGATTCAGAGGGTTGAAATGGTGGTTTAACCAACATACAGGTGGATTTAGAGTGTTGAAATGATGGTTTAACCAACAAACAGGTGGATTGAGAGGGTTGAAATGGTGGTTTAAACAACAAACAAAGGATTTTGAGGGTTGAAATGGTGGCTTAACAAACATTACATGGGATTTTAGAGGGTTGAAATTGTGGTTGAACCAATAAACAGGTGGATTTAGAGGGTTGAAATAGTGGTTTAACCAACAAACAGGTGGATTTAGAGGGTTGAATTGGTGGTTTAACCAACACACAGGTGGATTTAGAGGGTTGAAATGGTGGTTTAACCAACATAACATGTGGATTTAGAGGGTTGAAATGGTGGTTTAACCGACATAACAAGTGGATTTAGAGGGTTGAAATGGTGGTTTAACCAACATAACAGGTGGATTTAGCGGGTTGAAATGGTGGTTTAACCAACAACAGGTGGATTTAGAGAGTTAAAATGGTGGTTTAACCAACATAACAAGTGGATTTAGAGAGTTGAAATGGTGGTTTAACCAACCAAACAGGTGGATTTAGAAGGTTGAAATGGTGGTTTAACCAACATAACAAGTGGATTTAGAGGGTTGAAATGGTGGTTTAACCAATATAAGAGGTGGATTTAGAGCAACATAACAAGTGGATTTAGAGAGTTGAAATGGTGGTTTAACCAACATGACAGGTGGATTTAGAGGGTTGAAATGGTGGTTTAACCAACACAACATGCGGATTTAGAGAGTTAAAATGGTGGTTCAACCAACAAACAGATGGATTTAGAGAGTTGAAATGGTGGTTTAACCAACAAACAGATGGATTTAGAAGGTAGAAATCGTGGTTTAACCAACATAACAGGTGGATTTAGAGGGTTGAAATGGTGGTTTAACCAACATAACAGGTGGATTTAGAGAGTTGAAATGGTGGTTTAACCAACATAACAAGTGGATTTAGAGAGTTGAAATGGTGGTTTAACAAACATAACAGGTGGATTTAGAAGGTTAAAATGGTGGTTTAACCAACAAACAGGTGGATTTAGAAAGTTGAAATCGTGGTAGAACCAACAAACAGGTGGATTTAGAGGGTTGAAATGGTGGTTTAACCAACAAACAGGTGGATTTAGAGGGTTGAATTCGTGGTTAAACCAATGAAGGGTGGCTTTAGAGGGTTGAAATGGTGATTTATCCGACAAACAGGTGGATTTAGAGGGTTGAAATGGTGGTTTAACCGACAAACAGGTGGATTTAGAGGGTTGAAATGGTGGTTTAACCAACAGACAGGTGGATTTAGAGGGTTGAAATGGTGGTTTAACCAACAGACAGGTGGATTTGGAGGGTTGAAATAGTGGTTTAACCGGCAAACAGGTGGATTTAGAGGGTTGAAATGGTGGTTTAACCGACAAACAGGTGGATTTAGAGGGTTGAAATGGTGGTTTAACCAACATAACAAGTGGATTTAGAGGGTTGAAATGGTGGTTCAACCAACAAACAGGTGGATTTAGAGGGTTGAAATGGTGGTTTAACCAACAAACAGGTGGATTTAGAGAGTTGAAATGGTGGTTTAACCAACACACAGGTGGATTTAGGGGGTTGAAATGGTGATTTATCCGACAAACAGGTGGATTTAGAGGGTTGAAATGGTGGTTTAACCAATAAACAGGTGGATTTAGAGGGTTGCAATGGTGGTTTAACCAACAAACATGTGGATTAAGAGGGTTGAAATGATTGTTTAATCAAAAAACAGGTGGATTTAGAGGGTAAAAATCGTGGTTTAACCGACAAACACGTGGATTTAGAGGGTTGAAATGATGGGTTAAGCAACCACCAGGTGGATTTAGAGGGTTGAAATGGTGGTTTAACCAACATAACAGGTGGATTTAGAGGGTTGAAATTGTGGTTTAACCAACATAACAGGTGTATTTAGAGGGTTGAAATGGTGGTTTAACCAACAGAACAAGTGGATTTAGAGGGTTAAAATGGTGGTTTAACCAACATAACAGGTGGATTTAGAGAGTTGAAATGGTGGTTTAACCAACATAACAAGTGGATTTAGAGAGTTGAAATGGTGGTTTAACAAACATAACAGGTGGATTTAGAAGGTTGAAATGGTGGTTTAACCGACAAACAGGTGGATTTAGAAGCTTGAAATGGTGGTTTAACCAACAAACAGGTGGATTTAGAGGGTTGAAATGCTGGTTTAACCAAGAAACAGGTGGATTTAGAGGGTTGAAATGGTGGTTTAACCGACAAACAGGTGGATTTAGAAGGTAGAAATCGTGGTTTTAACCAAGAAACAGGTGTATTTAGAGGGTTGAAGTTGTTTATCCAACAAACAGGTGGATTTAGAGGGTTGAAATGGTGGTTTAACCAACATAACAGGTGGATTTAGAGGGTTGAAATGGTGGTTTAACCAACAGAACAAGTGGATTTAGAGGGTTGAAATGGTGGTTTAACCAACATAACAGGTGGATTTAGAGAGTTGAAATGGTGGTTTAACCAACATAACAAGTGGATTTAGAGAGTTGAAATGGTGGTTTAACAAACATAACAGGTGGATTTAGAAGGTTGAAATGGTGGTTTAACCGACAAACAGGTGGATTTAGAAGCTTGAAATGGTGGTTTAACCAACAAACAGGTGGATTTAGAGGGTTGAAATGCTGGTTTAACCAACAAACAGGTGGATTTAGAGGGTTGAAATGGTGGTTTAACCGATAAACAGGTGGATTTAGAGGGTTGAAATGGTGGGTTACAGGCATCTGACAAAGTCGTACCTGTTTTAGGAAAAAATCGTTGTGCCTTGGGGAAGTGTGTTTCGCAAAAGTCGTGCCTTTAGCAAGAACGCATAGGAACTCTGGAGTTTGGATTTGTAACCCGTTTTCTTATGAGATCACGTAGCTGATCACTATTAGCATGCAGAATTCCAGGTTGTGGGTATGTTGATTAGTTATAGGTAAGATGGCGTTGAGCTGGTGATTTGATGATTTTGGATGTTCATCCCAGATTATCCAGATTATCCTGTTTGGGAAAGACTTTGCGCAAGCTTTGTGGTACAAAGTAGTACTGGGAAGGACTTTGTGCAAGCTTTGCAGTACGAAGTAGTACTGGCAAGTACTTTGTTCAAGCTTTGTAGTACAGGAAGTGACCCAGAGAATAGAAAAATAAAGATGCAGAATCCCAGCGTTCACATGCAGGTTGCACACGAGAATGACATTGTAAGAGAGTAGAAAATCAATATTTTCATCAATCGCGTTCCATTGTGTTTCATTTGTTTTTCATGTCTAAAATGCATGGTTACACTTTTATTGAGGACAGCGTTCCATGCAGAAAAGCATTTAGGCATGACTTAGGCATGACTTCTTGGATACAGCGTTTACAATGGTAAATGCCATTCAAAAACATGCTAGGCATGACTTAGGCGTGACATTGTCGCTTCCCTGTAACCAACAAACAGGTGGATTCAGAGGGTTGAAATGGTGGGTTAACCAACAAACAGGTGGATTTAGAGTTGAAATTGGATGACTTTTTTTTAAAAAATGGGGCTTTGAAGCACGAAATCTTGGGATTTCACCTGCAAGATAGTTGGGTAATGAGTTAACCATCAAAACACCGGGTCTTAACAGCAAAATATTGGGATTCAATGCTCAAACCTGTCGGTAAAAGAACTGATGAGTTTGGTAGTTTGCAAAAGTTTAGTTGAGGCCTGTACCAGATTCCGAATATCTACAACCAACTATGTTTATCTTTTGTTCGGGGTACACATTTAAGATTTGCCATGCGATTTTGGATTTCTACAGGAAACAACATAAAATTGGGACACACCCAGGCCTTTGTTACACTCTTTAGGTAGAACTGGTCTCGAGGAAGGAACTTCCAAAATGACAAACCCAGTGCCGCTATCTCCCCAGGATCTCCCTAGGATCTCCTGAGATCATTTTCGCACTAACCACTGTTGGATATACCGCTATATTGCATATTAATGTCTCCATCTACAATCTACTGCAGTCTCAACATCCCATTTTCGTTGATTTCATCCTCGTGTCAATGGATCTTCTTGATGGTCACCTATTTTTGTTGCTCAAATCCCATTTTGGATGGAATTGATTGGGATTGACCATATCTTTTCATGATATTTCCCATAGTTTTCCAGCGTTCGATGCTTGAAATCCTACATATTCATCATTTTTCTCATTAAATCACCATTTTCAGAATATTTTCCAATGGTTTCCCAATTTGACCATGATGTTTTCAATTTTCCAATGATTTTCATATGGTTCTCCCAATTTTTACCATGATTTGCCATGATTTCCCTATGTTTTCCCCATGCCCGGGCAACAGCCCGCCTTTTCAACGGGAGGCCGCTCCGACCTCGCCCACCTCCCCCACGTCGCCGACCTCACGCGGCGTGCACGCGCGGAAACGGACCTTTCTCTATCGAAGCCTGGCGCCGTGAGGAAAGCCGCGAGGGGAGTCTGAATAGCTATGGAAAATCCTCATGTTCAATAGGTAAATCATCATGTTCATCATCTATTTCTATGTATTAGTATTAGTAATTATTAGTATTAGTATTAGTATTATTAATTATACTAGTATTAAGAAAATATATGATGATTATTAGGAATTTAATTGTATTCGTATTAGTATTATTTAGTAATAGTATAGTATATTGACATTAGTATTATCAAAGAGTATTGTTATTCAGATAGTATTAGTATTATATTATATTGATTATGAAATAGTATCAGTATTAGTATTAATGTCAACCCCTGATTAATAAAACATGGTTTATTAGGGGGGTATTCCCCCAATAGTCATGATTTGATACTTTGTTTATCTTATTGTACTTTCCCAATTAAACAGCCCAAGGGTTTATTAATCCAGGGTTGACATTATACTATTTAGTACTAGTATTAGTTTAAATATTATTAGTCTACAAGTATATAATATTCTTAGTAATACTGTGGAGCATCTGGCTCGGCAGGGACATGACCCAAATCCCAATGGACTTTAGCTTTTTACTCTAATTCTTGTAGCCATGTCGAAGAGCAAACATGAGACGACGGGATTGACCCCAGAGCCCGCCTCTCGCAAATTGCGAACTGATGGAACTGCAAGTGGAGAAAAAGAAGAAGAAAACGCACCTGATATCCCTATGACAGATCCTATGACTCGGCTTGTGATCGAAGAACTTCAAGTAGAAATGGCTGGAGACTTTCATTCGCTTTTCCCTGGGTGGGTGAACATCCCTATGTTTTCTTGCGAACAGCGAACTGCATAGGCTCCAGCCCAAAAAACCTCATCAGTGGCAAATCCAGGACATTCTGCCAGTTGTTTTCCCTTATTTGGCTGGTAAATTCCATGGATAATGTGGCCAACACAGTCAACACAAGAATAAAACATCCCTAAATCACCATGGATTGTGTCGATGGAACTTCTCAAGGCTCAGGAAAGCAACCACTAAGGAGTCACGAGTTGAATTTAATTGAGTCTGAACCAATAGATTATGATAATACCCCATATGGATCCATATGGAGGTTTCCTAAGTCACGGGGGATCCACAAGTCATCATGTTTGTTTCAATACTACCATATCTAAACTGGTCATCCATGACTTGGAAGACAGTATACCCCTTGGATCCCCTTGGTAACTTAACGGCTTGCAATGGAAAATTGTCATTTTCAAGTTTAGTAAATCGTTGATATAAATGGACCATTTCTCTGGAGCCACTTTCCATAGCGAACTGTTGTATTACCAGAGGCTAACCCCCGAAGTAATTTATCATAGCTACGAAAAATGGTCCAGAAAAATGGACCATTTATTTCAATGATTTACCGGAACTCATTTCAGTGAAGACTGAGCGGACCATTTTATGGTGCCCAGGAAAGCACAGCTACAAGGTCCGGAAGCATCGCCCCCGAGTTCAGGCGCGGTTCAACCGTCCGGGGTTCGTGCCTAGGAATGTGCCCATGTGGGTATCCTTTAAAAGGACTTAACAGTATATACTGTAATGATTATAGCGAGCAGTGAATTGTTAAAACTTGAATAGTTTATATCCCATAGGATCCATGTATGCTATATATGGTAACATTTACCATCAATATACCCCAAATGTTAGCATATATACCATACATGGATCCTATGGGTATTAGGTGGACATACTATGAACTAGATGAATACTATATGAATGTCTTTTCCAGGATTTGCTGAAGACTTGGGCCATTGGGGAATCTGAATTTTGCGTACGACATGGTGACCCAAAATCCACAAAAATAATCAAAAATCAAGTTTGAAACAGTCCCTTATTTTTTTGTGATAAAATGTGATAAAACAGGAATTAGCCCAATTAGACAATATTAGTGGCGCATGGTGTTTTCTTCGTTTTTGGACATATCCCATGAAGGGTTGATGGTGATCCCATGAATCCCGAACCACAAAAGGGATGATACTGGCGCTGAGGTCACCGCTGCAGATGACTGGCCTGGAACTCAGCTTTTGTCAAACTTCAAGTTCGAAAACTGGGGAAACCTTTGCTAAGAACTTGAAATTGTGAACTTGAAGTTAGATTAGCAATAGATTGAAGTTGCTAATTGCAGTGACTTCAAACCATAGATTGTTCTTAGGTAAAACATGGATTTGAAGTCACTGCAAATGATGTTTATATATGGGGACTCCTTAAATGTGGGGCCTTGTTTCAGGTGAATAACGCAGTCATATTCAGGTCCATGGAAGTCATGAAGCTGCAGTTGGATGCAGAATGATGCAGATATATCCGTGGTGAATTTGACCGATATAGTCTAGTTATAAACTGGTTGGTGGTAACCAGAATTATGGGGGATTGATCATGGGACCATATGTGATAATAGTAGAACTGGTTGGTGGTTTGGAACACGATTTTTTCCCATTCAGTTGGGAACTTCATCATCCCAACTGACTTTCATATTTTTCAGAGGGGTAGGTATACCACCAACCAGTAGATATTCACCATCATTAACCATCATTAAATCACCATTAATCACCATATAATCACCATTAAACTGTCAGAAAAACCAACAGGGCCCCTTCCGGAACTCCTAGGAACTCCACCCATCCCCCAAAGCTGGTGAGTTTAGTATTGTTCAGTGACCAGGAAGGAGGCTGAACCACCTATTTTGGGATAAAGAAACATGGGTTTGTCTGAAAATAGGGTATATTCCCAATGAAATAGCCATTTAATAGGGTTTTTTGATCATTAACCATTGGGTAAAAAGGGGTACACTATTTTCAGACAAACCCACATCAAGCCCCCATTCTTGCTGGGAATTACTCATATCACAATTTGCCCTACCACACCCCAGAAGAAGAAATACCACAGGTTTTACCAGGTGTTGCTTTTGGGGCTACAACAAACCATACCCCAAGAGTGTGCCAACCACAAGACATCATTTCTGATCGTCCAAGTCACCGAGTCTAGCTCCGTGTACAATTCATCAATTCGTTATAAACTGAACGTTCTTTCCCAGCATTCCTGGTAAGTTTTCCAGCCATTCCCCCGTTTTTTCCCAATATTTTTCCTGAAACAAACTTCCATTCCCGATTTTATGACGTCCTGCGACTGCAAAAGAATCGAGTCGGGAATTTTCCTCCTAATATCCCCATTATCTCCTTATATTATATCCCCATTATATCAACATCATATCAAGATGATATCAACACCTATAAACCCTCATTGTTGCTAGCATTGTTGTTGGTATAAATCCACATCATATACATATTTATAAACTTTTCTTTTAGACAATGGAAAGCCATGACAAAACGGTCATGGTCAAAATTCCCGAGGTTCGACGTGGCGCCGGCCCGTTCGGAGTCGTGGCGAAGGGCCTGGAAGTGCCTTGGAATCCCGGAAAAAAGTTGGAAAAAGTGATGATTGATACAGGATGGGGCCCCCAGTCGATAGCGTTCAGTTGCCGTAGAAAAGTGGCAGAATTCTATGGTTTATGGTAGATATAACTATAGTTAATAGGGGTTATAATGAGATGGGGGTTTCCATAAATTGATATAAATTGGAGGTACCCCAAGATGGATGGTTTATAATGGAAAATCCATTTATAAATGGATGACTTAGGGGTACCCCCATTTCAGGACACCTCCATGTAGTATAACTATGTTATTTATATAAAGGCATTCTACTTTTTGATCTTTTTGGGGCCACACCATCGTCAACCGTATTTCTAGTTACTATTGAACCGTGAAATCATGTGAAATCTATTATTTTTCAAGATTTGTGAAGCATATTTGGGACGATGATACCAGCATCCAGATAGGAACGGCTCAAATTGCAAGAATTTCACTCGGGCATCCTATGGCCCTATGGCCTTATTGAGGAACTATTAACCCCTCGGCCAGACTTGGAGATTTCACAACATGTACCATTTAATTGTATGGAGGTTTCCTAAGTCATCCATTTTAATAGCTAGGATTTTCCGAAAAAAACCATCTAGCGATAAATGAGTACCCCCATGACTAAACCTCCATATAGATGCCACCTGGATAGTCATGATTAGTTCTGCCTTGCTGATGATTGGCAAAATGGAGGATCCTTGTAGAAAACCATTCGAGCATCATCGAAAAAAGGTTTTGAAAGCTGAATTTTGATTGTCCCAACCCTTGACTTTCTGATCTCAGATTTTTCTCCAAATTGTGTCAATTTTTACGGATACAGATCTGGTCGGCTCGGCTTCAGCGTGCCCCATCGCCCAGCGCCTTCCGAATCCTCCAACAGCCGCCATGTTGACGTCCGGCGCCCTCGCTGCCCTGTCTCCATGGCATGGCGCGAAGGAGGAGGTGGAGGTCTCCGGCAAGCGCAGCCAGGGCACTGCGCTGGGACCCTTCTTCTCACCTTTGAGCACCGTAACTTGGAGTGACTTTTTGAGTGTTTTTTGTGCGGGATTTAGAGGAAACTAAGATGGAGACATGGTGATTTCATAAAATGAAGATGCAAATGATACATATATCATATATAACATATATATATATATATTATATATATATATCGAATTTAATAGATATATGATGTGAGATCTAAATTGTGGATTTACTCATTCACAATGGTGTTTTATTTCACATGGCAACATCGGATTTCAACCAGGAACTCCCGGAGATTCAGCCGGGACCCCCCAAATTTCATCTTTCAAAGCTTGAAATGTGGCATAAATTGGGGATCATTGGGGATCAGTGGGGTACATATCCCTACAAAATCCATACATATCCCCATTTTTCCATATTTTTTTCAGAGAACGCAATGCATTTTTGTTGAGAATTGGTAGGTTTGATCGGGTCGGTTGGGAGTTTTCCCATCGGAAGATAGACGATTCCCAAGGTCCTTCATCCCGCGGATCGTAAATGCCTTAGTTCACCGCAGGTAGGACTAACTCGAAACTTAGCCCATCAAAAAACATATTATCATGTTAGCCCATCAAAATTATCAAGTAGAACACCATATGTTCATCTATCAGGGTGAACTAATTTATTTATATACACCAAGTAGATGAACAGACCCATACTCTGGAGCATCATCCCACGGATCATAACTGGCGATCGTTGGTAAGTCGGCAGTTCGTATCATCCAGCTACGATTCGTGGGATAATCCTCCAAGTAGAGGGTGTCCTGGAATATAAGATTGCTAGTTATATATATATACATATCTATATGTAGATATATATATATAATATAATTATATATATATATGTATATCTATCTCTCTCTCTATATATATATGTATATCATAATATATGCCATGAAGTTCCATAAAACCCAATGAACTGTTACATTAAACTGCTATTTTGTCCCATGGCTATCTCATGAATTCTCCATGGATAGTCGTGACAGCTGAGGTATTTGTACCCAGCGACGATGAGGATGAGCCATTGGGACGAATCGAAAGGATCTGGGGATTGTTGAGATTGAAACCAACAAAATACCCTCTGGTAAACTAACATAGCTATAGAACATGGCACATTTATAGTGGATTTACCCAATAAAAATGGTGATTTTCCATAGTTACGTTGGTTTACCAGAGGGTATGGGGTGCAAAAATAAACACTATTTATCACCATATCCCTATAGTCTATATATGTCATATCCCTTTTCAATGTAATATCTTTTATATATATTTTATGGATAGAAAAAGGATCATCGACATAGGGACTATTATGTTGGGATCTTTTGTAATTGTAATGTCTTATCCTCAAATTTATCCCAGTCATATCCTCTGTTTTATGTGCATATTTTATGTTGGGATCTTTCCTTGGGATAGTTCAATGGGAGATCTCGGGATCCTAAAATGGAGGTACGTTAGCACCATGTTAGCCCATATTTTGGGAGATTCCCTTACATAGCCCTGAAAAATAGGTCTTATATATACATATATATGTATGGTAAGTTCCTCCAATTTGGGTTCCTGGAATGGCCATTGAATAGTTTCCCATTGATGGTAGCAACTCTTTCCATAGGGAGGTGGAGATGATTTATTCGGCTCCCATCATCCCGATGATGGCTTTTTTGATGGGAGAATTCATTGGATAACCATGGGAGAATGGTGGTGTAATGGAACTTAATGGTTATCCCCAAAGAACCATGGTTTAATGGGATAAAATGGTGGGATAAGCATGGTTTAATGGAACTTCATGGTGTGCAAAACAACAATTGCTGGGGTTCGTTAAGAGTTGTTACGTAGATGTTGCCAGAACTAGCGATTTCTAGTGATCGCAAGTGGCAGGAAAACCCTGCAGTTTCATCAAAGGTATTCAAAGATGTGACAATTTTGAAAAAATCCACCATTCAGTTCGAAAAGAAATTCCCAGCAAACCTCCAGGACTCGTTTTTTTGGGATTTCCACCCAGCCACCTTTGACCGGTAACCGATGGTAACCCCTTTTTTGAAAAACACTTGGGATGTGACGGCCAGGGAAGAAAAGGGGAACAGGATCCATTGAGTTCAGTGAGATGGGGACATGATGATACCTCTATTTTTGGGGTCGGGGATTTTTGAGTTTCTTCAAGATTCAAATCCATCAGAATTGGGGAATCAAACTAGATCTTTTGAGCCCCGTTTGTGCAAATCCAAGTTTGTGCAAATAAAATATCTCCTGTTCAGTATATATATATATAGGCTAAAAGAACAAGGGAACATTTTCCATAGCTAAGTTAAGCTACCGGAAAGTGGCAGCAAACCACTCCCTCTATCTTTTCGTTTTCAGGACATTCAGTGGACCGGAGGATGCCCAGAAGTTTCAATTCCGATTGATACATGTTACCCTCTGGTTATTGAACATAGCTATTGAAAATGGCCCATTTACAGATGATTTATGATGATTTACCTATTAAAGATGTTGATAACCAAAGGGTAAAACTCACTTGGAATAATGTTGATCAGACTGGATGGGTTGCTGGCTTGCCACATACTCAGCTCAGAGGCTCGAACTCATACTGACTTCAGTGTTCTTGCATCAGCTTTCGTGTGCTAGCCATATGTGTATGTACGGATGTACAAAACGCTGGTATATAAATATATACATATATATATATGTGTGTTCATATGACATACAACACATTTATTTATAGATTATGTATATAGTAACCCCGAAAAAGGTAGACAGTAATTTACCATCATTTTAGTAAGATTTTACTTTCTGTCAAACTGTGGGGCTTGCTATACTTATGATGTAGAGACAATTCGATTATTTTTTTAAAGCTTGACCCCCCAGTTATAAATTGGAGTTATACACTGAATTATAGATATATCTACCATAAACCATACTCAACCTAGGCAAAATTTGCACTAACTTAGCTATCATAGATAATCTATAACCTCCATGAATCACCAGTATTTACCTAGCTCTCTTTACCAACAGACGCCTATTGTTCTCAGACCCCTTCCTGTCTCCATCCTCTCTGGAAGAGTTGGTTATTACACCCGATTAAATATGGATGTATAGATATAGATATATCAAGCCCAAACCATACTTCACCTTGTGACCAGACTGCCCTACTTGGAAGTGCAGTTCGAGTTATAAGTGGCTATATATATATATATTATATACACACATGTCACCATAGTGATAGGGGCCCATATTCCAACTTCCTGGGGCTTATTTCACCATGGTCATAGCCATACGAGTTACTTCAACTGCAGCCATGCTATTTCCCATCCAAATCCATGAAATCACCATTTCTGAATGGTAAAGACGTGTTTTTTCTCACACCACTTTCCGGTGGTTTTCCTGGTTTTCCAGACTTCCCACCGGTCTCAGGAAGAGTGTTGAGAAGGTCCACGCCAAGCTCACCGCAGCCAACGGCTGCCCCAAAGCTCCTAAGCTTGGACCACAGGAGATGCTGGGGATTTCACCAGAAGACCCCCGCTGGATGGTTGAAAAACATGGAAAATCCCAATCTAAAATGGATGATTTAGATTGATTTAGGGGTACCCCATGACTTAGGAAACCTCCATATCATGTAGATATCATGGGAATATGGTATATATATAAATGTATGTATATATATATGTATGTAGTGGGTATGTTTATATATGGATACGGGCGAAAACTAATAAAACTATTGACATGAGGGTCGATTTTTAGAATCATCCATTTGAATGGGGTACCTAATTTTGACGCATATCCATATAAGATATGATTGGCTATGTATATTATATATTTGGTGTATTATTTTTCCCATCAATAACTATTCAATGGTGATATATGATGGGACACATTAAATTACTTGCTGGCTCACCCCACAGATCGTAAGTAGGCTTTAGTTTACCCTAGTTGAGTTAATCCTACTTATTCCACTTATATCGAGGGATATATATATATACATAAAGTACATATACCCTCTGGTTATTTAACATAGCCATGGAAAATCACCATTTTTATAGGTACATCATCTATAAATGGTTCATTTTCCATAGCTATGTAAAATAACCAGAGGGTATATATAATTTCGGAGTCATCAAGCATAGCTGGGACATCCCCATGAAGAGAACGGAGGTTTTGTCAGGGAGGTTTGAATGTAAAAGCCATCTTTAAATGAGTTGACCCATGATGGGTATATATATATATGTATATATATATATATATAATACCCATTGTATTCCCATGATATATAGATAGATAGATAGATAGATAGACACCATCTATATATGTATATCATGGGAATTTTAGCGAGCAGATGGGGAATACAATGGGGATGTAATGGGATCTTTACCAACAATAATGGGAATATGCTAGGGGTAAACCATAAACTAAGGTGGGATATTTTACTAAGGTTGACAACTGGTTTTCGGTTTGGAAAGCAAGCATAGCTGGGACTTGATGGTTAAAGCTTTTCAAAACTGGTGATATACCCTCTGGTAATTTAACATAGCTATGGAAAATCACCATTTTCAATGGGTAAATCCACTATAAATGGCCATTTTCAATAGCTATTTTGACATAACCAGAGGGTATCTCGAAAAACGAAAACATCGCTGGGGAAATCCCTGTGGCCTAGCGATGTTTGATCGGCAAAATCATGATGGCCTCAATGGTGAATTTTCCGGCCATGTGGAAAAAATGCCACCAAGGTTCAAGGATTCGTAGGCATTCTAACAACCAAAAAACATTGATGAATTCATCCCCTAGTCCTTGATAAATATTCCTAGAAACATGTCCCGTGCTCCCATGATCAATCCCTATGGTTAAAGTTATGATATCTGCCAAGATCTCAAGGATTTACATCCATATACATCCATCATTATGGTGATATATATATATATATATATTCGTATATATTCCATGATCCCATTAAAAGTCCATATATTCTATATATATATATGTAATCCGGTATTGTATACATATATATAGATATCCCATTACAATCCCATATACATAGTATGCCATGAAATTCCCATTTTTTTATATACACATCCCATTTTAATCCCATGCATGATATCTCCATGATCTTTCATTAATCTACGAACCCTTCATCCACTGTTCATGATTAGTTATACATATACTGTATATATTCCATTTTGTTCGATGATTTTCCTGGTTCGGGGATGTCCCATTGATCTTTCAGATAGCTTCAAATATCTGCCAATCTCATGCATTCATCATCAATGATATATATAATTGTATATACTGTATATACATATATACACACATATATATATATATGATTCTGTATAGATATATATATATACATACATACATTCCATATATATATATACATATATATACATATATATATATACACATCATATACATAATACATAAATCCCACATGATTCTCCCGTGATCTCTGCATCTGCCAGGAGTCCCCGCTTTTGGACTTTGAGCTGGACTCCTTTCAGTTACCCGAAACCTCCGAGGTCCCAGGGGAATGGCAGGCGCGGCTCGGAACGTTGCGCGTGGCGGAAACGCTGTGCGGCTCGGAAACCTGTGAAATATGGAGGAAACGTCGTCGAAGTACCCTCCTGCTTTCACACTTTTCGGCATCTTTTTTGGGGGTTGCTATATACTAGAGATGGTTGTAGAATATGTATGATATATGATATATATATATATATATCATATATCTATATATGTATATATCATATATATATAGCATACATATATATATATATAATATAATATATATATATATATGATTATATATATATATAAATAATATATTTCACCATAGTTGAAGGGAATATGATATCACTTCATCATGGGAATGGGATTTACCCTCTGATAATCATCTATTTTGGTGGCTACATTTCCATGGCGAACGGTTAAATTACCCGAGGGCATAGGTGGTGATATTTCACCATACAGAGGCGATAGATCCCAACTTGTGGAGGTTATAATTTCCCTATGAAATTAACCCCAACTGTCCCCAACTCCATCCCTAAGTAGCAGGTTCAATATCTGGTTGGTGGTTTGGAACATATGTATTTTATTTTTCCATTCAGTTGGGAATTTCACCATCCCAACTGACGAAGTTATATTTTTCAGAGGGGTAGGTATACCACCAACCAGATATGCTTTAATCATCTATTATGGATATTCGATGATATAATCCCTTCCCCTTTTCGTATTGCCCAAAATTCTATGATCCCAGTCATATGAGATGAAAATTCGCCTGCTAAACCATGGAAAACCGTGAATGGGGGATGGGATTATGTACATAAAACCAATGGTTTACACACCCATTCACTAAAGTTATATCCCCTATGAACCAGCTGTGAACCCAGAGTTATATCATGTTATATCCCTATAAACCCATATGCATTTCCACTTTGCAACCTCAACCCATTTGCAAGGGACCGTCTTTCGACAAATCTAGATGAAACCAGTCATATTCACAGATATTAAACCTAAGTTATAAGTCGGTTAACCCCATGGCATCCATCAACCATAGTTCTATCCTACATCTTTACCCACCTTGCAGGGATGTTGAATTGGTCGTCCGGTTTCGTCTTGGATCTATTCATGAATTGACCTCCACGGAAAAGCGGAAAACAAGGGTGTGTTTAACGTGGTTTGATCAGGATCGGATTCATAGAATAAACTCGACTCTTTTTCCTATATTTACCCTCTGGTAATTTAACATAGCTATTGAAAATGACCATTTATGATGGATTTCCCCATTGAAAATGGTGATTTTCCATAGGCATGTTAGTTTACCAGAGGGTACCCACAAGCTAAACACAGGTTTTTTTTTGGGTGACTGCGGGGGGCGATTCTCCCACGCCGCCAGATAAAGCTGGGGGGCACTTGTGCATCCCAGTTATCAGTACCCACATGCCATGTGGGATGCACCCGCAAGTGTCTGTGTATATATAATATAATACAGACATAATATATATATATTAATATATCTATGTATATATATATGTGTATACGACATATACATATATGTATATATTTATACACATATGTGTATGTATATATATACATACACATATGTGTATAAATATATACACATATGTTTATGTGTATATATATATATATATTTATACATGCACGTATATTATATGTATATATATGGGGGCACTTCCAGATGTTTCATACCTTGGGTTTGTCATTCCTGCGACAGGAGCCAGCGATCGCGATCGAGGGCTCCGAAATCTTTTTGCCGATCCTCATGTGGAAACCCTGAGGCCCCCTCCGTGGCTGGAGTTAGCAGTGCAGCTATGCTATTTTTGGATGGGAGAATAGCCTGACTCAAAGGGTAATTTGGGGTTTCCATAGAAGGGGTAAACAAATGGACGGTTTATAGTGGAAAATCCTATTGAAATGGATGATTTGGAAGTACAGTGCCCCCATTTCAGTAGGAAACCTCCATTTACCACTTCTATAGGATATGTACTTAAATTTTGTGGCTAGCTATTTCGACGTTGTCGATAGTGACTCAAATACCACTCTGTTAGTGTAAGACAGGCCAGTGACATCTGGTTTTGTCTTCTGGAATATGGTACCCCATTCTATCTCTGGGTTTAGAACATCGTTTTCCCAATTCCTTTCAAATGGCTAGAAACTTTCTGAGCCCTCCCATCATTGGCAGAGGCGTGACAGTCGAGAAGTCGAGGCGATGTATGAAGAAAATGGGTTCGAAACAGAGAAACAGAAGCAGCTCCAAACTGGCTCGATGCTGTAGATCATTTCTTGTATGATTTCTGATGAACTTTTGTTAGTTTCGTGTGGACATGTTGGTGTTTTTTGGAAGTTGAGCCACATTTGACAGGATTGCAAAAGGGCTGCAGTAGCTATGAACAAAAATCCATCGCAGCGTCTGACGTTGGGTCTCTCTTGCCAGAGTGCAAACTCATGAACGGCAGAAGACATGGTGTTTGATTTCAAGGCAGCACTGGCATTGTTGGATTCTGGGTATTCTTTTGGAGGAATTCCTCACATCCTGGACCATCACATCACACCTGGAGGGCCCAGAAAGAAGCAGCCAATTGGATGTTTTTTCATTGGGTCCAAAGTTGAAAACTGTCGGGCAGTTTAGATTTTAGATCCTCAACTTATCTTAAGTTGGTTCTAGTTGATACAGTATATATAATATATATATATATATACAGACATAGCCCTCCAATTTTTGATGGAAACATCTCTAATATAATCCAGCCAAAAACGAGAAGCTCTGTCCGTCCAAAGCAGTGGCTGGGAAATCCCTGCAATGGAGGATTTTCCAGGCGATTGATTGCTGGAGTATCTAAGATTGGCCATAATAATGGTTATAGTGGTTATAGTAATGCTTATATAATGTTTATAATAATTTAATAATGGTGGGTTTATAATAATCTGGTTGGTGCTTTGGAATATGAATGTTATTTTTCCATATATTGAACATTTCATAATCCCAATTGACGAACTCATAGTTTTCTGAGGGGTAGGTATACCACCAACCAGCCATATGATTGAGTCATATTGTCGCGATCTTGT